AGAAGTGTCCTGCTTTGAACTTCAGTTTCTACTTCTACGAGAAGATTGCCAGAAAGCTTTTTCGCCTTGAAAGCTTTGCCAATGATGGCATCAAGGCATTTAGAGACAAGGAAAGGCGAGAGCTTAGCCAGCGGCTTTTTTTTCATCAAGGGCTTGAAGGACAAAAAATCTTGGAAATTTTGGTGGTTCAGATGCTTTTTCAAAAGTAAGTACGGAGCAACCCCTTTTAGGGGGGCGCACCGTGTTGGGTTTAGAAGAGGAGGCAGCCATAAGAGGCAAAGTTTGTTCGGAACCTGTGGTGTGCCGCCCACCACGGAGCCCAACAAGGGAATAGATAACGCACCATAACAAAAAGGGCTTTGCTGGAGACGTTATGCTATTAGCACTGCCCAGGAACTATAACCAAGTGTGGTTCTGGACAAGGGGTCTGTCACCACCCAAGGTTAGCCCTTGCCGCCAAAGAAGTTGAAAAAGGAAAGAAGAGAAAAGAGAAGAGTGAAAAGGAGGGGAAGACAAAGGTGAAAGTAGGGAGGGGATAGTAGAAGAGGCGACTGACTGAATCATCCTGGTCGGGCCAAGCCAGGACACCCGTCTACGAGAAGTAGAGGCCGAAGCGGTGTATTGCCTCGCCCGGGGGGCCCCGAAGGGTCCAAACATACCCCGGGCTCAGCTCAACCACCAGGGTCCCCTTTTCCCCGGAAACGGGTACGCCACGCACAGCCAGACGTGGGTGGGCGAACCCACATGGCTCGGGGTTCGTGGTGACGCCACTCACCAAGCACCTACCAAAGTAGGTGCCCCCTGCGTGCGGGTATGGTGGCCCACGTAGCTGGGGTCCGTGGTGACGCAACTCACCAAGCACCTAGCACCTAAGGTGCAGGCGCCCCCTGCGGGGCTCGGGGTCCGTGGAGACGCCACTCTCCAAACACCTGCTTTCGCAGGTGCCCCCTGCGGGGGTGCGTCGACATCCTGGGTCCCGAGCGAAAGATCGCAAAAGAGAGCGACAGAACACGAGAGAAAGAAACCAATGTTGCCAGCTGAAGGACGACAGTCCAAATGGTAACTGCAAAGGCTGAAAACTCTCAGCAATATAAATAGTCATAATTTAGCGTTGTAAACTAAAATTTGAGCTATTCTAATGCTTATAAAAAGCGGTCTATTCGTACGCTGCATTCTGTCGAAATCTCTGAAATCTGGTGCTCGCGCGGTTTCGTATTCCTGGGACGCGGCCGTCCGCAAAGCCGGTGATCTCGATTATCTGGTTTAGTTTAGTGCTGACGGAAGGCCGTACATCTGCGCGCTATGCAAAAAGAAAGCTTTGAAAGGAACGCGAATATCTTTCCACTGGTAAGCTTGTGTATTGTTGAAGTTCATAAAACTGCTCTGATATAATTATACTTGTGAAATCAAAGGCAGTTGGTAACCATGTGTGGGACTCCAAGGGTCTGCCTGCGAGCTCTGCCGCTTGTGGCAGCCAGAATGCATGGGAAAATGGCAGACCTTGTCCTCTAGAGTTAGTATGTATGATCTCTATGGAAAAGAATGTTCAGTAATCGATTCACTGAGAAGCACGCAAAAAACACTCGACATACTCTGTTTAAGACTACATGCACGACCTGAAAGTCTGTACCATATGTGACGTCACACCACTGAAGAGCGCGCGAAAATTTGAATGCTGGTTTTGGCATCATCTTCATTTACGGTTTTTTCAATTACTATTTTGAATTTCTAGAAAATAAATAGCATACCATGACGATTGAAGTCCGGGTAGTCAGAAAATACAATTTGTTTAGGTAGCTCAAAAAACGGCCGGAGTACCCCTTTAACGGATTCTGTTCCTGTCGGACGTTTTGATGGAACTGATGGCGACACGGCGGGCTCAGTGTGGCGCCCGTTTCGACTTCGGGAGTGGAGCGAGAGCTGAGAAAAACTTGGTCGCTGCTCGACGTGAATGAGTGCAGCTGTCAGAAATCGTGCTGGAAACGATTTCTAGCAAAATAAAGGTACAGTGTAGACCGCATATAACGCATTTCGCAGGAGTCGCGAAAATCCGCACTATAAGCGGTACCGCGCAATAACCAAAACATCAATTTTTCAGGCCAAAATACATGCCATGACACAACTTACCTTTCTAAAAGAATTTATTTTATGTTAGATGAAAAATAAAGCTTAGTTTGAGGAAAGTCTTTATTTCACCAGGCTAGTACACTTCTCTCTCAAGTGTGTCACACATTTCGAAAGAAATGAGTGAAATGGCACAGCCTTTTAACGGCGTCGCGGGTTACGGACGGACATTGCGAGCGTTCAGGATTGCTAACCCTAATCACTTTTCTCCGGTGATGAAAACGTGTGAAAATTCGCTTGCTATATACGGTACGCGCCAGTAATACCTTCAACTTGAGCACAGGCATGAAATGCTCCAAATAAGAAATCCGGGCGATGTTCAAAAGCACAAATGCCTAGAAAGCACCACTGTAGTCGAAGTAAACAAACACAACGACACGGGCGTTTCTGCCGTCTTGAGAGTGCCGCCACGACATTGCCAAACGAGTAGGTGGATCTTCCCTTCAAGTATGTGTTGGGTTATCATAGCGACACACAACGAAAATTCACAGTCAAAGATAGCGCTTTTACGCGGAACGATGAGGTTCCACCACTACGTCTACGTCGACGATTACTACCGACGTTATGTTTGCGGATAGAAGCAGTCAGCCCGCGACCGGCATGCAACGCGCGCTAACACTTCTCCTCGACCTGCGATTGGTCAGTCGTTGCGGTTGTTTGTTTCTCGTGGTTTCCAACGCAGCGGAGGGACGCACGCACGTGAACGACACGTGCGTGCGTCCCTCCATCGCTATGGCAACTGAAGGCTCTCTCTTCGCTTCTTCCCACTTCTTCAAGCAACCTCCTTGCCCCGCGAGTGCCGCTTGTGGCTAGCGCCATTATCTAGTGTCGCACAGGGAAGCGTGCTCGCTGCGGTCAGTCGGCGCAGTCGGCGGGCTGTTCCAAAAACCGCACAATAACCGGTATTTCCCTTCGCGCGCCTGCATTTTAAGCGGTACGTAAATACATGGAGTTCTATGGGAGGCGAACCGGTGGTTTAAAAAAGCCGCGTTATACCCGGTCCTGCACTATAAGCGGTTACGTTGTAAGTGGTCTTTCCCCTTCTTTACGTCTGTATGCAGATGACTGTGTTGTTTATCGTGCTGTAAGTATTCCTGGCGACCGTATGGCTCCACAGCTGGATATTGATCGCATAGCAAGTTGGTGCCACACTTGGGGGATGGAACTAAATGTGGCAAAACATAATTTCGTGAGGCTCACTAACAGAAACCCTCTCATTGCCATGTACCACATCAATAACATAGTGATAGACATGTTGTTGCACATAAAAATATTTGGGTTTATATTCCTCACAGAATCTCTCCTGGAACCACCATATAGATTATGTGACAGCTCAGGCAAATTGAATGTTAGGATTCATGAAACGTAATTTTAGAGAGTGTTCATGTGAAGTGAAAAAATATCCTCTACCTCACTAACATCAGGCCGATTCTAGAGTACTATGCTTCTCCACTCTGCGATCCCCATCAGCAGTACCTGATCAACAACACTGAATGGATTCAGAACAGATCTGCTAGGTTTGTACTCAATTCCTACAGCTGGCGTCAAAGCGCGACTGCCTTGAAAGATGAGCTTAAGTGGCAGCCTCTGCAAACTTGCCGTCTATGCTCCCGTTTAAAGCTTTTGCATTCAATTTATTATGGACATTCTGGCATCGATAAGGAAACATGTTTACTCCAGCCACATTTCATTTCTCGTAGACGAGATCACTGAAAGAAAATTAGGTCTCTCTCATCAAAAACTAACATATTTAAGCGCTCTTTCCTTCTAAGCACCATTCAGTGCTAGAATTAATTGCCAGAGGAGCTAGTCTCGTAAAATGATAGCCCACATTTTTTCGATACTTTACTAAGATTTTAATTTTATATGTGTGCTCCATCTTATGTATTAGTTTTGAAAATGTATAATGGTGTGTCAGAGCCCTTTTTCTTCTTGCACTGGTTTGGGTCGATCAGAGCTTTGCTGCAGGCTGTGCAATTTTTATGTACTGTGGCGTTATTCACTCTTTTTATTTTTTCCTCCCCTATTGTAACGCCCTTACGGGCACTACGGGGGACCTGAATAAATAAATAAAATACAAATAAACCCAAAGGATCCAGAATTCAGAAGTGGGGTTGCAAACTGATGATTACCTTGGTCTGATCATGACACAATGCACACATATTATTTTACCTTACACTCCCACATGTTCACCTCATAAACCATGCAGTGTTTTGTCAGAGGCCCTGAATCATGGCAAGGTGCAACTAGAGCCGATTCCAATAATTCTATATTAAACCCATAAAAAAAAGGTGTACTCTCTTTACAATGAAGTTAATAACCAAAAACAAAAAATACTTTCAACATCTTGAAAACCTGACATCTTGAAAACCGACAAAAACAGGTTTCAAACTCGGCTGCAACATTAATTTCTACTTTCTAGTTTATAAGGGTGATCAACAACCAAACTACAGACACATGAAGTTAGTTGTTATCCCCACAGCAACTCAAGATACTCAACAACAGCCGTTTCCCCATTCCCAACCTTGAAAGGAACAAAACCAACCGACCTAAACAGCTCGGCCCAATCCCCATCCCACGGGTCATCCCTCCCCTCCCTCTCGATCCCTCAAGATCAAGGTCAAATAGTTGACATCTGGAATACCTTCACCGCTTTGTGCTTATTGAATAGGTAAGGAAATCAAGTCTCTCTGCAAGCATTAAAAGCCAACAACAATCTTCCCTTGGAGAAGCTTGCAATGCTAGTCAGGTGTAGGGCCCTCAGACAGAGTGGACTTCAATAGGGATGAATGAGGCAAAGAGCATCAGCTACTAACCCTCAACCTTTTTCCACTGAACAAGCAGCTAAAAATTAAATGCTGAGCAGTCATACTCACTCATTAACTGCGAGCGGCTGCTCACCCATTGCAGCATTTTCCATACGTGTAACTGCCCTCCCAGCAATATGATACAGCTTGAAAAAAATCTGCACAAAAATTGTTTAATCAGTCCCACTTGATTCCATTCAAAAGCTTTTTCTTTTTTTTTTTTTTTAAGTGAAAAGCGAAGTATTGATATGAAGCTAGAATCTCTCTTCTTCTGATCAACCTTTTTTACACTCTACACTATATTGACCACATGAGTGGAACCTTGCTATGATTGTATGACAAACTGAGGCAAGCTCGGAGCTACAAATCCCAGTCCTCCTGCACTTGCTATGATAGAAGATACGTGAGAACACAGTTAAGAAACAAACACACGAAACAATCACCGTTCCGAAGGTAGGTAAATGAATTAACAAAAACTTTGAGATCCTCAACCTTACCCCATATAAAGATGAAAAATGAAATTAAAAAATACAGGCTCGTTCAGCATGTTGAGATCACTGGAAACATGACAGTGTGACCATACAAACAAACGAGTCCTTGTTGAATAGTACATACCGTCTTGAGTTTGGTCGAAGTAAATGCCGGGGACAGGATGTTCCTCGCACGTCTCCACTCTTCACCAGAGAGGTTCATGATCAATTTTTTCCACACCTCATTTCCAACTTTCTGAGCTTCCTAAAGGCGTAATACAAACACAAGGTCATTCATTTGCCTCGTCCATAGTCGGTGACAGTTTAAAAGTTCAGGGGAAGCTCCTCCCATCTTTTTCCCCTTTAGCAGAGCAACCGCTGGAGAGAAGGTCACCTCCCCTCCAGCATTTGCTCTGCTAATGTAAAATGCGAAAAAGTGCCTAAGTCATGTTCACAATAACAGTGACATGTAGTGTACGCCAAAGTAATTGGCATATCTGAAGTCAGGTTCCAGGGTAACTCAGCCAAGACAGGATATGGGCAGAAGGCCTTAGCAACTTTGCATAAGTACTACACACAGCAACAGCTTTAGTGTATGCTAGGGGGGAAAGCACAAACAAATAACGGAACATACTATTGGGCTTTACGAGTGGAAGTCACCGTGGCTAACGACTGCGAAAACAACTGAAAAGTGACATGCCTTCTCTTTTTTTATTGTGGCTCTTCACTTAAAATGGTTACTTTTGATGGCTCTTTGATTACGTCTGTCTGGTCACCCCTGTTTTAGAGCAAGCAAATGGTATGAAAACAATAATACTGCACTCCATGACCAACAATTAGTCTGAAAGTGCACAGTCGAAGTTAGGAATGAAGGTACAGGATCCGAGTTGCTTTTCTCTTTTAACAAGTCAAAACAACCCTGTAAAAAGTAATGAAATGTAACAACATCTAGCATAAAACTTAGCTAAAAAAAAAAAACTTGGTTAATTGGCATTGATAAAATTAAAAAAAAATTTTTTGAGACCAAAATTATGTGCCAAATGCTTCGCTGCAAAGTATACAAGACACACGTGGCATACCGTTCTGTCTGAGAAGGACTTGAAGTCTTTAACGAGAACATCCGAAAGCAGGTCGGGGTCTCCAACAACCAACGTGGGGACAATGCCTTGGTAAGACCTAAAATAGTTGTGACACCAGCATCACAGCACAAACCTAATGAACACAAAAAACTACCGAGACTAGCAGTAATTAGAATGTCAGTGTGGCAAAACATGAAGGAGAAGGTTACAATAATGTCTTCTAGTCCTTTTGCACAAACTAGCAGTAATTAGAATGTCAGTGTGGCAAAACATGAAGGAGAAGATTACAATAATGCCTTCTAGTCCTTTTGCACAAATACACAGAGTTATGCCAGGCTGCTCCTATAAGTTAGTGGAGTTTTGAGGGCCCTGTTGAAACCCATTAAATTAGATGAACTGTGGCAACTAAGGAAAAAAAAGAAGCAAATTAGGCATTTTTGTTTAGACGGTGCAAGGTAGGTCTCCTTTTAAGGTATAGCAGCACTAGTTTGCGCTCTAGACGAGAAATTTAGCCATTGCAGTACAACCGTTAACCTGGAGTCTTCAATGTGCACCATGCAGCAGTGACACACGACCACATGCCAGCACGATGCTCGTTCATAATGAAACGGACGGGGGCAGGGATTGAGCCCAGGATACCTGAGATCCACAGCACGAGCTTTCGCTGCATGAGCATGGAGCTGCTGTGCACTAACACTCTGCCACCGATCCCTCCAACAACTAAGAAGTCAGAGACTGAAAGGTGTCTAATGAAGCTGAAAAGCATCCTCCTAATGCTACATCGTGTCCAAATGTCCATCTAGGCTTTACAATTTTATAAGTAATGCTGTCGTCTGAGTTTGCCGCATTCGTGGCAGCATCAATCATGGAAATCAAACATACCCATAGACGCGTCCATAAGTTTCGTAGTTCTTACGCACAACTTCGTGAAGTGGCTGCAAAAAATAAGAACCGGCAGCTAGTTAATCAAACGGCAGCGGGAAACTGCTGTATAAAAATCAAAATATAGCCATTGTACAACCAAGCTTTCTGAAAGGTTGCAGAAGACGACCAGAAAAAGTACCGTATTTACGAAATTGTAACGTGCAGCCAGCGTTTACACACAAAAGTAACGATCCTGACATGCCAAAGATTTCAGTTTCATATCCGATTCTAACGCGCAGGCAGTTTCTACATACACCTTTCTCAAAAGAAGGGACTGTACATATTAGAATCGGGTAAGTATGGTAGCCCATGTAAATTGTAGAGTACCGACGAAAATTGAACCACTGTCGATTCTCAGCAACTCAAAACTAGGGCGGATACCTCGGTTCACTTTCAATTACTACTTGCTCGAACAATACTCCTTTCAAAAGACATCCAGAGGTACTGTAACATTTGAATACATTGAAGACAGAAGCACACCCAAATTTATAGGTTTCCATGTCGACAAGAGCACACCGCCGGCAGGAGGGCAACTTGGACGTGGGATTGCATTCCAGAAGATTCGGCTCAGATCGGTCAGTTGGCTGCTGAAAGCTCCAAGGCCCATGGCCGCGCTTCCCTCACCTAAAGCCCTTCAATGCGGAAAAGTAATGACATCCTTTGAAGAGCGGCGCTTGCTATCCCAGAACGATCATGACGGCGGACAAGTGTGAGAGAGCCAAAGATAGAGATGGGAGAGTTTGAGAAGAACAACTACGCCTTCAGAGCACAGTGGAATCTACAAGCCAACGGCCCCAATCGAGAAACGCCAGAGGAACGTCACGGCCCTCAGCATCTTTCTTTAGATGCATTCTTCGCAGCTTGTCCAACCAGATGCAGAAAGCGCACCAGGACAATGCGTTTTTAACCTGTGTGTATGCATTTGCGTGTTTTTTAGCCTTCGACTGCACTTTGACTTTTGATTACCGTTACTATCTTGGGACAATTATGATGGTGAGCGACTGCGAGAAAGCACAGAATAAAAGAAAAGTGTGCGTGCCGGAGAGAAGCGGAGGTGTCGCTACTTTTCTTATTCAAAAGCCTTAGCCTGACTGCCTTCTTGCCTCATCTCGGGGAGGCCCTTCCAACCCTCACAAAGGCACTGTTCTTGTACACCCATTGGCTCCGGCGAACAATGCAGTAAGCCCAGTGCACGTGTCCACTGCAAAGGTTCAAGAGGGTCAGGTTTGTTTCATCTGACTAAGCTCCCCTGTACCGAAAATTGAGGTCTTCACAACAGAGCCGGTGTGCAATAAAAAAAAAAAAAAAACAACCATATGCAGAGTTGGAGTGCCCTTTGTGTTTTCAAAACAAGGAACAGTGCCAGGACACACAAGTCAGAAAAAGATAGTACCAATGATCAGGATAAGCTTGAAGACAAATGGATTTTTAAGAGCCCGGAGTCTAGCTAAAGGTCTATTCATACAATGCATCTTGTTGGCGAACCTTGTGTCGCAAAACTAGGTTTCTAGAAACAATGTCCTCGTGTGAAGGCGACCGAAAAAGTGGCATGCCTCCGAAAAACACTGTGGATGCTCCTCGCTTCTGGAGCAAACTTTTGCTGAATCCTGATCAAGGCCTGTCAATCAACCGAAGGAGAAACAAGGACACTGCCAATGGCCGCTCGACTTCGCTATGAAGTCTGACCTTCGAGGCAGAGCGAGCTATTGGAGGAGTCGGATTTTTGGCCGATTCCGTATCCGAGCCAAAGCCGAAAAGAAAAAAAGGAAACATGGCGGCGAGCGACAAGCGCAGAAGCACTGCGTCCGGGCAATATGTGTTAGCGGTACGGGTTGGTGGTGTAGTGCAGGTTTATCAACAGTCGCGACGAGTGCAAGCATCGCGTATAAACATGATGACTGGGGATAACTTTCTTTTAGCAGTGCAAAAATGCCTTAAATACTTCGAGATCATCTGCCTGTTCTTTGACATTCTTCACTCTTCACACTGTGTGCACTTCATATAATTTTGATGCAAAACACTTGATATTCCCGGTGCAGATGACAAGGTTTGGCGAAATTCTCGTGAGCCAATACGTCAACTCCACTTGTAAACAGGCCGATTCGCGAAATCTCGGTATCAATAAACCGTGGAACATTGAAAAGATGCATTGTGTGATTAGCCTTAAAGAGATATGGAACCAAAATTTTGAGCTCACAAAACAAGGATGGACGAATAGGCGGGACGCTGCAAAACCCAAAAACATCACTTATACAGCGATATCTCTAAAGGGGTGTCCAAACAGGACACTACAAAACGCACGACTCCGACAAATCGTGAAAATTGAAGCGGACACGCCCGCTTCGCGCCCGCTTCAATTTTCACGATTTGTCGGAGTCGTGCGTTTTGTAGTGTCCTGTTTGGACACCCCTTAACGGATTGCCATATTTTTGGAAAAGAAGTGCACAACTGAACACGGCCGACGAGGCCGACGTGACAAGTCACGTCACGATTCTCATTCCCTCTCCTCTTCGCTACGTCCCGTCGAGCTGATGAACCGAAGCGATGAGGAGATAAGCGAGGCCACTACCCCTCATTCTCAAATTCTCCAGGAGGACAGTGATGTCAATGACTTCGCTTGCTTGTGCCCTTCTTTTCCAAAAGTACAGCTATCTGCTAAAGATATCGATGTATGAGTGATGTTTTGGAGTTTGTAGCGTCCCGTCCAACGCTTCTGCGGCCCTATTTTGCGAAATCCGAATTTCAGCTCACTATCCCTTCAAGGTGTCAAGGTGGCAGAGGTATGCACTTGTATTGTTATGGGAATAATCCAGACAAGAGGAACCTTCATCTGATCAAACATATTGTTATGGAACTGCTCCAATTTCTGCGCATCATGCATACAAAGAACACACAGCATGATCCAATCAAGAACTCATGGCTCAGGCAAGTTAGCCAGCTCCTTGTGCATTTCTCCATTGGGTCGAACAATGCTCAGACAACTGAAACATAAAAAGGAAGAGAGATAGATGTACCAAGGAAGGACAGAAGGGCTAACTTGAACGCAGGTTCTGGCTGGCATCTCTGCAAGCTCTGTAAACATACACTTTGTAAAGAATGTGGTAGAAAACATGTGAAAGTACCTTCGTATACAGGTCGTACACAACCCTCAGATATTGCCAGAAGGTCTGATAGGGAACACCTTTGTCATTCCAGAATGTGAAGGTTCTTCGAATCTTCCTGCAACCAAAACAAAAAATAATTAGAGTGGAAGTTTTAAAGAGACACAGAACCCCAGAAAAATACTCTTTTTTAAATGCTTAACAAAGAAACCTACGTCGAAAAAAAAAACTTTTTGTTTTCCTCTTAGAAAAAAGAAGTACCGTAAAATACCGGGTAAGCGCCCACTCAAACTTTGGAGATAATCGCAAAAAAATGGGGGATGGGCGCTTTTCCGGTCATCAATTTGACATATAAATGTAATGTGCGTATTTTCTCAGATCTTACGGATTCGGGAATGTGCGCTCAATGTGGAATGGGGGGATGCGTGGTATTCTACATTTAGAACTGTTTGTGTTGAGACACACGTTTTCACTTGGAAGCAATTCCGAAACCAACTTGTGTTTCAAGATGTCGACCTCAATATAGATGTTTTGGAATCGCTTCTTTCTCAAAATGTGTCTCATGGCGTAAATGCTGTCGTCAAAATTTCTTCATTTTTTTTTCCTTTTTGGTGGGGGGGCTAGTACTTATTATGTGAGATACAACATCTCCTTTCGAAGCACTTGCAAGGCTATGTTTTTGGGAGTTCAGTGTCCCTTTAGAAGAGCACTAAAGAGGTGTCTCCGACTGTAGAATTTGTAGATAACCCCGAACAGCTACACAGCGTAATCAAATGAAACCCAAAAGGAGCGGTGAGTAGACGATGCACCCTGTTGTCCGCTCGCTGCACGTACTGGGAGATGGCGCCATAAGTTACATTCACTGTTAATAGGGTAGTCTGCAAACATATCTGTCGTCGACTTGGGTAAGTTTGTCGGTCTCGTTTTTCATGGGAAGAGAACTATGCCTTGGAATTCCACAAGGTAAAACTCACCACCTCAACACATTCAGTGAAAGTTAAAGCTTTCTTATCTGTAGGTGCCAATTTTCCTGGCTTGTTTTACAGAACAAGATTCACTGTAGTATACAAAGCAACCCGTGACAACAAAAGCCCTGTTTAGTCTCTTCTTGATTAGGCTGTGTCCTAGCAGAGTTTGCATTCTCAAATGCTGTAACTTTCTTTGCACACTTGCTTTATCCTTTTGGCATGGCCTTTAGCCAGGAGGTGTCAAAGAACATAGTGTGATGTTTGGCAGCTTAGAAATGTGACACAGCAGGAACCAACAATATTTTTGGAAGATGCCCTCATTCGCCCGCCTGGGTGTGTAACAAAAAACCTCGCTGATTTTTGACACCCACAGATGTTGGTCAAAAAGTTGACGTTGTTGTAAAATGCGCAGTCAAATGAGAATGAAAGCGCTGGCTCGGAGCCCTCCGAATCCAGGGTGACTAGAGCACGGCAGCAGCACAACACAGTCAAAGCATGTGTTAGAACGCACATTTTGTCACATGTATCATTATTTGTGTCACATGTTTTACACACGCTGGGTTGTGTCTCCGTGAACCAATAATTTGATCAGGGGTCCTAGGGCATTGCCGTTCGAATGTCTAATCGCTTGGCACGTAACATTTGCGTGTTTTCTTTGTTTTGTTTTTTACTGAAGGTGAGAAGGTAGAAAGGTCATGCCCAGCGCAAGTGTGATGCTCCCCAGTGGGCCGGTTTTCACAAGGTCCTTCGTAACAGGCCTCAAAATGGAACTGACTACGGTGACGGGGCCCCTCACTTTAGAAACTGCACTATGGTGACGGGGCAACAGCAACCAATACATGCCTTGCACCTACGTGACATGATGACATCGAACACCGGCATCTACCATGCTGGTGGTTGACTCGACGGCCGTTCGCAGCGAGAGCAATAGTAAACTCCGCTGCGCTCGGCTGTAACCATTACCCCGTATCCCGATGATCGTCCGATCGTTTCGTCAGCATGCCCCGCGAGACAGAGTAGCCACCTAGCTAGAGACAGTACGAGCGGCAGGACAGGGATGCGGCCGCGGATTATCGAGTTTGCGGGACACATTTCATAGCGGCGAACGATGGCACTTTTCTACCGTAGTTTACGTTCTCGCACGCCTTTGCATCTGCTTTTGCTCGTTCGTGGTGTATATGGCCTTTGACCTCCGTTGCATAACGCCGTTTTCACGCTTCGAGCGCACCTTCGGGGCTCCCGGCCGAATCCGGGCGAGTGTCGCGCCGCGAGCCCGGCCCGACAATGATCGGTCGGCGGCGGCCCCCGTGTGCAAGCTCGCCGAGCCGCCGCGTCATCGGTTTGCGTCCGCGAGACAATAACTTTAGCAAGGAGCGAAAGTATGCAGGCGAGCCGGTTAGGAAACATCATAATATAAACCCTGAGACAATGAGAGTTTCATGTCCGTTATTTGATTTATCCTTGTCTCAGGGTTAAGATTATGACGGTAACATTGCATTGTTTACCAGTATTTCGCAAAATCGTAACAATTTTTCTACAAGCGACTCCTAGTGCCGCTCGTCAAAATTATGAAGTACGCAATTAAGCTTTTTCTTTTTTTGGCGACACGGCATCTCTTTGCGTCAAAACTTCGTCGGCGGCATTTCAAAACTTTCTGCTTTTAGCGCAATCGCACCAATGCCAAAAAATTCTGCAGGTACTGGATAAACGTCATGATCGTAAGCTCAGCACGTTTTGCTAAGTTTGCGGTACCTTCCTTGAAAATATGGTGCATGTTAGCGCATGTCCGGGCCGTTAGCGGCATCCTACGCCTTGGTAAGCGCTTCCGCGCGATGTGAAGTCAACCACCAGTATGCTATGGGGCCCCGTCCTTCCCTAGATGTTCCCTAGCGTGACGTCACTTGCAAGGCATGTACACAGAGATCCAATGGATACCCCATTCCGAAAGAGCTTTGTGGCGCTGAGGTACAGTGTCGGCTTCACGAGCTGGGGGTCTACGGTTCAAATCGTGTTCTGGACAAAACTTTCTTCTTTTTTTTTTTTTTTTATTTAGGTCACAGACGCTATATTTACGTGTAGGGAGAGCGACAGGGACAGGGACAGGAAGAGAGAGAGGGAGAGGACCGCGAAGCGTGGGTTAATGTGCTCGTAAATTACAAATTAATTCTCACTGTTCCCACCACATACAACACAGGACGGGCCCCCTCACTCATGCTGGCCGCACTACGGTGAGGGTGCCCCCTCACTTTTGCCTACAGCACTACAGTGACGGACCCTTCGTAACTTTCAATTATGCCGCATGATCGAATGGACCTTTTTCCAGTAAGCGTCTGCGCACGCGCACACCCTTTTCCCTTGACCTTGACCGCCCTTTCGCCATTTTTGGGGGGCACTGTTTTCTTGCGACACTAATCTGTTTCCATGGGAGAAGGCGAGTCCGGTTGCCCTCCATTTGTAGTAGGCGGCGAAACCGTCATGAGGCGCTCCTTACTGGAAAAAGGTCCATTGTTGGTCGGGGGGGGGGGGAGATAAGCGCCGGCGCCCCACACTTTTGCCTAGCACACTACAGTGACGGGCCCCTTCACTTTTGTCAGCTGCATTACAGTGACGGGCCCCCTCACCATAGTGAGTGCCCCTTAAAATACCGCACTTCCCAAACTGTCGTACTTTGATAGATGAGAGTAACGACAATGAAACAATGCCTAACGCAAGTTTTCCGCACAAACTAAGACGAAAACAAACGGTAGCTGCAAGGTGTGTAGCTGGGGAGGTCGGTGCATGATCAGAATAAATAAAACGACGCAAAAGATGACAAGTCGAAGACAGACACGGCGCTGCTTGAGACATTAAAGAGAGCGAGTTCGAAACGTAACTCACCAGACCAAAAGAGCGAGCACAGCAACCAGAACAGCGATGATAATAGACATCGCGCCGCGTTTCAAGCTTCGGCGCAAAAACCGCACCTTATCTTCACGACTTCACAGAGGAGGGGCACAATGATCATAAGCAGAGCGAGGCGATCAAACGATCAAAGACGACACAAACACCGCCCACACGGCTCAAATTGCCTCAAATGGCTCAAAGGGCTCAAATTGCTCAAATGCACTCAGAGTTCGCAATGCCTCTGGATAACTGCACTGGATAACTGATTGGGCTCCACCCATCGTAAGGGATGGTAGCTAGCGCCCTCTCGGTCAGTGCGGTGAGTGGTGGTGCGCAGGCAGATAGGTGGAAAAATAGATGTTAATAATACCCTTTGTAACAGGCGGTAGCTTGCGTCACCTAGCCTAAGTCTAAAAAAACAAAAAAAAAGTATATGATTCCTTCCCCCTAACGTTCCCCAGGCAGCGTGGGATATCGCCAGGATGACCTTCGAAGAATATGGCAAAAAAAGAAAACCCTGCCTCTTCCCCCCATCGGCGTTACCCCAGCACCGGACCCACTGGGAGACAGGGTTAAAATTTTGGTCCGGAGCCACGCGGGAAAGAGTCCAAATTTTCCTCTGTCCCGCCTTTCCCCGGGTGTAGCCCGAAACAACCCATTCCCGTTTGAACCCGTCCCAATTCGACCCATTCCCGAATCGACCTTCCAGTTTGAACCCGTCCTGTTTCGACCCATTCTCGAAACAATGTCTCAGTAGAGAGTTTTAGCAGATCGTTTTTTCGCCCCCGATAACGATACGATGCATGCCCAAGGCCGACGGAGGGGAGAGGAGGTATCGTTATCGGGGCGAAAAAAACGTTTCAACCGATACCCGAAAAACCCTTTGCCTTGGAACCAGTGGCGTCACAAGGGGTGTGTGTGTGTGTGTGTGGGGGGGGGGGGGGGGAGAAATTTTCAGTCAAATTTAGCGGAACAAATTTCCCGCTAAATCTAGCGGAAAAATTTCTCTACTAAATTTAGCGGGAAATTTGTTCCGCTAAATTTAGCAGAAAATGTTCCCCTAAATGGGAGCCGAGCAGGAGAAAAGGAGGGGCATAGCCCTCTCTCCGCACCTTTCCCTCCTCCTCCTCAAGAGCTGCGCTCTAATTCGGCGTTACAGGGAGCTGTAAGTAGGGATGCCGCGAACTTTTTTCGAATTGAAGTTTCGATGATCGAATCAAGCGGTTCGAAAGGTTCGAAAGATTTCGATTTTTCGAATTGTCTATATCGTAAAATTCGACGGAAGTCGAATTTTCGAACTTGTTAAGCTAAGAACTTCGACGCTTTTCGAACCGTCGAACTTATTACGCTAAAAAATTCGATCTTTTTCGAACTTTCGAATTTATTGCGCTGCAAGGTTCGATGCTTGTCGAACTTTCGAACTTGACTGACCAAAAAATTCGATGAATTTCGAATTTTCGAACTTATTTATCAAGAGAATTCGAAAAGTTTCGAACTTTCGAATTCTGAAATGTCAGAATTTCGACGAACTTCGAACTTTTAGGGTAAAAGTTCGACGTTCGTCGAACTTCGAAAGACCGGCGGACGGTTTCATTTGATTTCGAGTAGTGGGGTACATTCGTAATTTTTTTTTTCTCGAATTAGTACACGCGGTGCTGCGTTCCTTACGAAAGACAATGTCGTTTATTTCAATGTTCTGGCATGCTTAGGTTTAAAGAAATAAATCCCCGAAGGGGCGAGGAAGGACGACGGGGTTTTTGACGATTATCATTTGTGCCAGATTTGAAGCACGCTGCAGCCGGAGCTATTTATGGTATACTTTTTTAAGAATGATCTATGTATAGCCTAGGTAAGTGCCGTCCTAAGATGTGATGATTGTTATTCAACGTGAGTTTCGAAGAAATGTCCCAATATGTATCTGCTTGCAATTATGACCTAAACTTGATATTTATTTTCGTCTAAGTTGTTTGAGGTATCGCATTTAAATTAACACCACAGACAGTACATATCTAATAGTGTTTAAGTTCAGCACGTCATTAAAAGAAAACTTTTTTTTTTTTTCGCTTCACGTTCCTGAGACGTGTTTCTTTTAGCCTGTACACATTTTGGTAAAAGAAACTTGTTTCGAAGTTCTGAACCTCTGAATATGCAATAGAACACTTCCGACGAATTCTTGATAGCTTTTTTTTTTCTCCTGCTTTTTATTCTCGCATTTATTCTTTTTTTTTTTTTTTTTTGGCACAGGTCTTTAGGTCGAACAGACAGCTTTAAACTTCCGAACCACTAAGCATGTGACGAGTAGTGCCTTCTGACAACGAGTTTCTAACAATGACCATCTACGCAACCTTTTATGCAGTGAAGAGCGACAGTAGCTACACATATGCATAAATAATTTCAGATTAAAATAAGCTCGACCACGCCCTCTTTCCCCGTATTGTTTTCTTTAACAGTCCGAAATACCTGCAAGGGAGAGAAAAAGGCTGAAACCCCCCCCCCCCCCCCCCCCCCCCCCCCGCTACCCTCTTTCCCCCCGTTTTTCCTCTTCCGACGCCACTTGTATGGTAGAACGCTCCTCGACCTCGAGTTGTGTCGGCTTTTGTGCTTTTTGCGAGGCGATTCCTCCGTCCCAGAAAATAAGCCTCCAGGACAATTATAAACTTCACCGGATCGGATTACTTCCAGCGTGCAAGGGGTGGCGAGCTAGTTTCCCTGCTGGAAATGGCAGGCCTGTTCCAATTGAAATGCATAGCCAAAGCCTATGAGCATGAATGTGCAATTGGCGCCGATGAGAAAATCCGATGTTTTGCACATTGGTGCAACTGGAAATGCTGCAGAGAAGCCGCAGCACGGGGGAAGGCCAAAGAATCGGTTGAGGGAAAGTCAACTTTAGGGGGCAAGCGCCATGATGCCAATTGTGTCAATGTGCACGACACTCAGTTTGCTCATTACCGCTCATTGCAGCCAGTGGCGCTATGTGGCAGAGCCATTGTACGGGAGATAGCAAAGAGCCATGCACTGCAGAGAAGTGAACTCGGTGCAGTATGGCAGTGACAATGCTCAATCGCCAAATTAGCACACCCTTGCAAAAATTTTCTATGGGACCGATAGAGATTTTTATGCGATCAATAGGATTTCATCGTACCGATGGGCATTTCTACTGGGCCGATAACAAGTTATATCGTACCAATACAGACTTCTCTTGTACCATTAGGAACTTCTGTGGGACAAGCAGGAACTTCTATGGGACAAGTAGACACTTCTATGGGAACAACACAAATGTTTTCTGGTCCGGAATACAAGTGCCTATTGGTCCTTCAATAGGATCAATAACAAGTTGTACTGGTTAAACTGAAAGCTTCATTGGTGAAATGGAATGCATTTCGGATCGAGAACTTTTAATGGTCGACTGGGAATACAGAACATAAAATCTATTAAGTGGGCATCTATCAGGTTAAACAGTATGCTTAGTGGAGAAATTAGAGTTGTTATATACTAAAGTTTTATGTTTTGAGCACAGGAAAATACTGTATGAGGGGGAGGGGGAAAGGAGGCCCCACCAAATGAAGGGTTTGGGAGGAGGGGAGGGGGGGGGGGGGGGGGGGCCCATGGTTCCCCCCCCCCCCCCCCCCCCGTGCAGATATGTGCGTGCCCGATGGGTTCCTCTCTGTCAAATAAACATTTTTTTTTAGCTATATAACTTGGGTTGGGCCATGTAGACACTAATTAAATAAAACATTCAGTTAATAAAGTGAATATGAACTCTTTTTTGTCACGTGTTTTAGAATTTCCTGATTACGTACTGTCCTCCTTCGTATTATAAAACATGCGGCTGCCAGTAAAACATAAAGAAAAGACTATGGGGAACGGGAACATTGTGTGTGCACATAGTATGCACAAGATTCATGAATAATTATATATAGGCAAACCACGAAATTCAGGTATCATCGGAACTCTGCAGTTTTAGCGGTGTATTCTGTCTCAGTAACAGTAATAGCGTAAACGATTGCACCAACTGGATTATGTATTCACATTAGACTTTGCTCCGTTTTATTCAGTTTTACCTGGTTTCGGAGTGGAACGTTCTCGTTTTTGTATAAATTTCGCTCCAGAACCGAGCAAATCAGAGTAAAACCGGGTCAAAAACAGAATAACACTGACTCAAAAATCCTATTATCATCTTTCACGATTGGTCCAAAGCTCTCAGACTTCCGACGTCGGGACTTTAAAACTTTGGCGGAGTTGGCGAAAAAATGCGATACTTCAGGCTTCCATTTTGCCATGTGAATGTATCCTGTTTGAGCCCTAGCAGAGGCTACGCGCTCGTTCTGGGGCGGCAGATCACGTGCACATTCTATCGTGGGCATGCTTTTTATTAACAGAAAAGAAAAGCCGGTAGTGCCGAATAACATCCAATAATTATTAACACCATAGAAGTCATTAAAAAAAAAAGCACATAAAATGCGCGCACACACACACACACACACACACACACACACACACACACGAAATAAGGATGACCTTCCCGAAATTATGATTGCACCTTGTTTCACGCACAGTAAGTGTCAGGCAGCACTTTCCACTTTGTAGTTGAGCAAGGAAGTTCCTTTTTGAAAGGCATTTTACGCGCTTGTTGGCAGTTTGGGCCTTTAGTTTGGCTTCTGGCTTCTCAATGTTGTAGTTTTCCTTGATGCCGGGAAGAGTGTACACTCCAGCAATGAAGTTTTCGAGATTCAAAAGCCCTTCATTTTGCGTCCAATTAAAATGAAGGCCAGCCGAAACAGGGTACGTCAGACTCGTTACATTCGTCTTTGCAAGTAGCCTTTTCGGAAACTTGGACAGGAAATTGGTCTTCAAATCTCCCGTCACTTTCACAATTTTATCACTTGTGTCTTCACTAACTGGCCCAGTACTGTGACCGCTTCTGGTTTCATTTGTACTACTTAGTTCACGGGGAGTTTTTGTCTCACCGTGTTCCGAGACAACCGAGCTTACAGAAACTGCTGTCGGCGACGTCGGTTCTGGTCCCTGGCCTGTTGTAGCATTTTTCAGGACACAACTTCGTCTCAGGACTGTTGTCCTTGGCAAGCTGGGTATACTTAGTGGCTCCAAGTATATTTTTTTGTTTGGGTTCATGGTCGCACAGCGCGACACCCTACGTGTCTCAAATCCAAATTTTAAAATTCGCACTGACGTCGTCCTGCAGCAAATGCAATTTTCTAATTAAAATGACAAATAAAAATTACTCCGTTATAAGTTTAATATATATTCAGTATTTACATTTGACAATTAAGTAATACCATAATTTTTAGAAACGTTTATTATTTTCTTAAGTGCATCAGTCACACTTGCGGGCTTGCGGGTTACACCACGTGACAATATAGAGTGAGCTGGAGTGGCTGGAGTGGCCCGCATGACATATAAAACCAAAATAAGTTTTCAAAGTGCAATTTATGCAAATTTTTTGCTAAATCAAGGTCAATAAGCAAATTTTTTAAGTATTCGTTTACTTCAGCAAACAAAAACAAGAGTTAAAATACGAAGTATTATAGTCACGTGATACATCCCCTGCGTCAGGAAGTGGTCCGACGTGATAAACCGAACGGTCCGGCCGGAGGACAAGCCTCAAGGATGGCAAGGAAGCGTGGAAGAAGAACCGAAGCTGCGGAAGCAACGTTCGCGGGAAGTCTAACGGTCTAACCGCTTGAAGCACGTTGCAGAGTCGAGACCAGTTGAGCGGCCGGAATTTTACGAACGATTATGCAAGCGTACGTCTTGAGGACGACCATGAGCCACATATCATCTCAAATTTCTGCCCGTCAAGCCTTGTGACGAAACGGAATCGGACTTCTTCAAGGCGCGGATCCTAAAGTTGTTTGGTAAGTTCTAGTCTCCACACGCGTTGTGCCCAGTCTAGTGACCATCTCCTTTAAGTTAAAAATTGCAGCTTTAAGCACAATATGTGGGAGTAACTCTCGGCGCCGGTTGTTTCAGGATCGCAGAGTGACGCGGAAACCCAGTGACAGTAAGCGGGTGCTAGTACCTCCGACGAGATGAGTGACTGCCCGGGAGGGCTGGAGGAAGCTTGTATGAGACAGGTAATTGTAATTTCATTTTCGCGCTTGCGAAGCAATTCATAAGACGTATTTTAAATTTGAGATTTTCTTTAGTTATGCCGCCACAAGTACAAGGAATTTCATCGATAGGGGTGCCGTGTGTTTGTTTTCATATGCCCGGAAACTAGGTAAAGGTTATGTGTTTTAACCATTTCGTCGTTTCCCCTGAGACTGGGTTTTTTTTGAAGAGCAGAAGTAACAGAAAAAACAGACGGTCTGTTTTTTCTGTCACTTCTGCTCTTCAAAAAAAAAACCCAGTCTCAGGGTAAACGACGAAATGGTTGACTTCCACCAGCTAGCCTGTACTTTGACTCTTTTCTCGTTAATGTGTTTTAACATTTTTTCTGTGCTGATAGGCTTAAGGTTGGAATGAATTATATCTGTCAAGGCGTGGCGCAGTCTGTGTCTATTTGGAGAAGAGGTATGTGTGTGTGTGCGTGCGTGCATGTTCATTTGTTTGTTAGTTCGTTGGGGGAGAGAGAGGAGATGAAGAAGAGGAGGAGGGTGAGGGATCACGTCGAATCATTCAAATCGTTAACTCTGACAGTAATGAGGTAAGAAGGATACCTGCTAGTTACACCGGTTCGGTTTTGTGCCAAACTCAAATTGCGTTTTGCCGCGTAAATATTGCTACAATTTTTTTTTTTCATCAACAAAATTAATTTTGAGGCATGCCGTTGACAAATAGGACCCCTGTTTTCAATCCCAGTCCAGGTTATTCACGACTCCAGCGAACTATAGATGGCGTGCTGCTCAGGCAAAATTGGGACGAAAGGAGGTCGTTTTCGTTGTTCAGCATGCGGACCATCACAAATTCCTGCACTGCAGCGTAAAATCGGTGTTACATTTGAATGCAAAGCGATTTTTCGACCCTAGAAACGTTCGTCTACTCAGTGCGTAGGAAGGACCCGGTGGAATCATTAAAATAATTACTGGAAACAATGTTTGTTTCTATGCTGCCTACGAGAACCAAGCAGCGATAGCAGACGACAGAGTCGGGACAACCTCCTCTCCTGAGCCTCTCGGCGCTGCCGCTATGCGGCGTTGATTTCGCTGGAGTCACGAATATTGCGCTGGTAAATTTCCTGTACATAGTGCTGCTTCAAAGATGAACTGAAGTTTATGTCTTCTATGTGTGCATCGGCAATGGCATGTGGCTCAACAAGACTTCACACACGAAAGTTCTCAAATAGAAGAGGGAATCAATGTTCATCCGGTAAGGTTTGGTAATTATCTCCGCCACAGATGGCCTCCTTGGCGAATTGCAACCGGCAGACCTTCAAACCTCACAAAGGCTAAGCAAAGCCACAACTGGATGCAGCAAGACTAAAAGCTTTATAATATACTGTAAGGACTATGGCTTTATAATAAGCCTTTTATGGCAAAACATACTGATCTGAAAAGCGTTGTTTGTGGTTATTTTAAAGTGGTATACGGAAACTTCGTCGTATTGTATTAATTCTGGTTCACTGCACAGTTAAAAGGTTTGTCTTCGTTTGCTGCCAGAGAAATATAGCTTGCGATGAACTAAATCAAAGTTATGACTGCTGGTGTCATGTACATATTCAGAACTTTTTTTTATTAAAATAATTGTAATCAAGTGTTTTATGGGTTTTAGCACTGTGATTAAGATACGTCAATGTGTTTTCTAAGAAAGACTACTAATTTGCAGTTTGTATCTTCTCCTAAAATATTTTGTAGATCTGAGCATGTATTCATACCTGAATATGTGCCAGGCATCCCCCGTATGTGTATAATTGTTTACTAGGCCTGTAAGCTTCCCCACTACATCATTGCCGCTATGTTAGCGCTTCCCAGCTATTATTCGAGAGAGATAAGTGTTCCTCATGATCAATTAGGTTCAGATTGTTTAGCGTTAATGTTTTTGAGTCCCCCATTTTTAATTCCTGACAGACCGCTTCAATGTCCGTTTATTTTTGGTTTGCCGCTATTTATCACCACAAGCAAAAACATCACGCCACTGGGATTAACCCGAAGCTCACCTCATGATTAACGACGCTGCCGTCCTTTGTCTTAAAGGGCCCCTGAAAAGAAGAAAAAAGTTTTTCAAAAACAGTCTGGTTGAGACACGCGTGCCAAAAAATGAATTTTACGCGAAAAAAAAAATTTTCTTAGAGCAATATTGACTGCACCAGACGCAATTTAGTCGGCAGTCACCTCCTTTCCACTTTTCTCTCTCTCGGCATCTCGGGCGCGTGGAGGAGAGGTAGTCCCCGCCTCTTCGTAGTGGATCGGCTTGGCTGCTTTCCTGGCTTGGCTGCGCCCCGCACGAGAGCCATTGCTACTTCCTGGCCGTGTTCCAAAATTGACTCGATCTTACCCCAGGGTGAGGGTTTTGTACTCTTGGCGTTCTAAAACCTACCCGCGTACAGCGTTTTTCAATCTGTGCTGTCACATGATACGATCCGCCGGAGAAACTCGGATCCATTTGGAGATTTGGAACACAGCCCCTGGCCGGCTGTCTGCCTGGTCTGCCGGTCGAACGACATACCGCGTCGTATCGTGCACGTACCGTGGTCACCGTGGTCGTACACACAGTACATAGTCGTCGCGGTGGACCCCGACCTGAAGCGTCGGTTGCTTCAACGCTGCCAGCAGCTGGGCCTTCGTCCGTACGAGGACACGCCTCGCCAGCCGGAAGGCGTCCGCTCCGATCGCCGCGAGGCACCCGCTTCGCCGCGGCGAAGCGGGTGCCTCGACGAGTTCGTTCGAGCCGCACGATCCTTCAAGCCGCCGCGAGGACACGCAGTGGTAACTGATTTTTTTTTTTATTAAGCGGTGCCGCGTGCCTCACTAAACTCTTTACGGGAACCTCGGGAACCGACATCTAAACAAACATTGGCACTGGCGCGCGCCAGAAAACAAACAAAAGATGAGGTAAACGGGACACACGAATCGCGCAAAGAAGAGGAGAAAAACAGAAACCTGTCACCCCGCGCCACTTCCTAAGTACTTACTATGACTGACTTAAGGTCCGTTCACACTCTTGCAACCGAGTACGACTGAGAGAGACCAGACCGGTTTTTAAGCCTCTTGCGACTTCTTAGGACCAGCTCCGCTGTAGCGCATCCGGTTCTAAGAGGTCGCAAGAGGCTTAAAAACCGGTCTGGTCTTTCTCGGTCGTACTCGGTTGCAAGAGTGTGAACGGGCCTTAACTAACACAAGCAACAAGCCCTCTTCAGAACGCGAAACGCGAAGACGGCGACCACGACAGAAAACAAAATGGCGAAGCTTTTGTTTGTTGTTTTGTTGTGGTATCCGAACGGAAGTTACGATTTTGTAAAACGTTTGTAAACAATTGCGACATTCATTCGATGGATTGTTTCTTAAACCTAAAAATATGTAATTCAAAAGGCGATTTAAAAAAATCACGAAGATTTTAAAACCAACATCTAAGCTGTCACTCATTCTATTGGCCAATGAGAAGCTGAGTTGAATGACCATCGCTACCAATGAGAAGCCGAGCTGAATGACCATGGAATTTGCGCGCAAAACTTCAAATAAATCTCTCGCCGTCAATATTGCTCTAAAAAAATTTTTTTTTCGCGTAAAAATCATTTTTTGACACGCGTGTTCCAACCAGACTGTTTAAAAAAAACTTTTTTTTTCTTTTCAGGGGCCCTTTAAGGGGGGCCTACGTTCATGGGTACTTGTCTAGTGGTTCTGGAGTTGATGTTGCCGAGATAACCGAGACGCCGATTTCTACGATGGCCTCTGTCAGCATCATGGTCAATTACAGCTGGCCCGAGCCCGAACCAGGCCAATCAACGTGCTGGCCCGAACCAGGCCAATCAACGTGCTGGCCCGAGCCCGGCCCGGGCCCACAGTCAAAAGTCCGAGCCCATCCCAGGCCTGGGCTTTCGGGTAAGCCCAAGCCCGTGCCCAGTGGTATAATCTTTAATCCAATCGCCATATTGAGATAAAGACGTCAAAATTCCTCAGTTTAAATGTCGGAAGTGCCTCAATAAGAGCAGGTATAAATATTAGTAGCAAATTTAATGATAAAAAAACTGCGTCGACTTTACTCAACAAGATTAACAGTTTAATCAAGCGTTTCGTCTCCCATGCGGGGAACATCATCAGTGAAACCTTCAAGTAGGAATGAGTGAAAAAACTTCAACAATCTTATTTAAGCAAGTCCGCATAAACATCGGGGGAGGGGGCCGCGGTTGGAATTGCAAGCTGATGAGTCACTTCAGATGAACCATGATTCCACCAACCTTCGTGGACCCCACCTTTGTTCACACGTCAGAGTGGACGCATTCTCAAAGTCGAAACTGTGACCCGTATTCGAACAATGGTCTACGAGTTCCGTCTTCGCTGTGTTTGTTTAGGCGAGTGCAGCGCTTCCAGCCTGTCTCCCCAATGTAGGATGTGTCACAGTCTAGACAGTTCACTTTATACACAACACCGCACTGGGACTCTGGGGGGGTGTAATCTTTAGGTTTAGAAATGAAGTCACATAGTTTATGGTGGGGTTTGAAAGCTGTGCGGATATTCAAAGGGGCGAGGGCCCTGCGAATGGACTCAAAAGCACCTCTCAAATAGGGTATTGTTGCTTGCCCTGTCCTAAGTTGTCCGTTATCCTGACTTCTTTGTCCCATCTGTTTGTGCGTGTTATCAATAAAACGTTTCGGATAATTCCGCTTCATCAGCGGGTCAACAATAACAGCATCCTCAGAAGCGCGCAAGCCGCCTCGGTGGCTCCAAGGCGAGAGCGCTGGCCTACGGATCCCCATGTGGCGGAGGCTTATTGCGGAGCAGGCGCCGTGTAACCGAGCTTTCGGTTGCACGTCAAAAGATCCCCAGGTAGTCTAAATTAATCCTCAGTCCTCCGCTGGGGCGTGCCAGATGCCCATCGTTGGTTTAGCACGTAAATCCCCCAAATTTGACTTTTTTCTCAGAAGCGCGCAATTGAGGATTAGAAGAAATGCGTTCGGACCGGTGTAGTAGGTTTTTTACGACAGCCCTTTTATGTTCGACAGAATGATGCGAGTTAAAGCTTAAGAGGTTGCCTGTATCACAGCTTTGCGGTACACTGTTGTATATAAGCGACCGGTACTATTTCGGAACACATTAACATACAGAAAAGGCTTTGCACCGTTCTGTTCAACTTCATGTGTGAATTGGATTGATGATTCAATGCTGTTTAAAGCTAAATGAAAGTCACAAAAGGGACATGGCAAAGGCCACGCATGCGACAAGAGCGAAGACGGAACTCTTAGACCATTGTTGGAATACGGGACACAGTTTCGACTTTGAGAATGCGTCCACTTTGGCGCGTGAACAAAGGTGGGGTCCAAGCAGGTTCGTAGAATCATGGTTCATCCGAAATGACTCATCAGCTTGTAACTCCAGCTGCGGCCCCCTCCTCAATGTGTATGCGGACTTGCTTAAATAGGACTGTTGAAGTTTCTTTCGCTCATTCCTGCTTCAAGGTTTCACCGACGATGTTTCCCACATGGGAGACGAAACGTTTGATTAAATTGTTAATCTTGTTGAGTAAAGTCGGTGCAGTTTTTTTTATCATTATGATTCCCGGCTTTTGGAATATTTTTGCAGCACATTTAATGAAGAAATGGATGCCGATAAACACCTGCCAAGGTTGACTAAAAATAAACAGAAACATCCAATCAATAGTTATGATTGCACTAAGCGGTTGCTATGTGGATGTTTTTTTATGTTCGACAGCTCAGCAAAGTCTGCGGATCTGGTTATGCTTCCTGTACGAGACAGATCACGAAGCGGTTGCTGACTGACCAGTTGGGGCGAAAAGTTTTGTGGGAAGGACGCAAGAGAAAGTTGACATTCAGGAACCTTCACCTTGCTGAGTGCATCATAAGTAAGTAATCTCTGGAACAGTAGTGCAGATCGCTTCACATGGAACCAGATTTATGGAATTGTTGGTGTCATACTTCTGTTGCTTTCTTTTATCAGATGCAGTGCAGAGCTGCCATAAATGTGAAGACTTCAAGGTAGAAACCATGGTCACGGATTAACTTCGCCACGCACCTGCCTGACATCAGTCATCTCAAATGGTAAGCTGGTCTTATTAAGCTGATGTTAGCACAAAAATCAAACTTTTCTAGAACAGTAAGTATGGTGTGCAATTTCTTCAAAGCATAATTTCTATATGAGAGTATTTGAATGCTTTAAATATTAAAGCCAGTGACACCTTTTTTGGTTTAATTTGAGAGCAAATACTACAGGTGCCAACAGTATTGAATAATTTTAAATAAAAAAAAAATTTGTTTGGAGTGTTTCTCTAAGAGGAAAAATTTCATTATGTAATAGGTCCTTATTATGGATTAAAAAGAATGCATAGACAACGAATTTTAAGAACACTGATATTTGATGCAAATCTAACAAACAAAAGTTGGCAATACAGTACACACATCCAGCATGAATGTGCTTTAAAAACAAGGCATAAAATACTTGTGATTTATTTACATCAGTTCCAATTCTTGCATATTTGAGTCACTTCACTGTTTTATTAGTTTTGTTTCAAAGAATGGTAAACCACTGCTCACATATCTTTAACGTAACATTTTTTCGTTGCTTTTCAGGAACATTCTGCACCACAGGAGAGAGAGATGTGAACTGCCTTAAGTGGGCCTTGAATGTGCTGAGCTTTTTATTATGTTTATCAGACATTTTTTTTAAGCAAAGTATCCTGCATTGTTCAGTAAGTATACTTTATTTTGAAAACCTCATGCTGTCTATGCAGCATTGTTCAAAAATTATACTTTATTTTAAAAGCACCAAGCACTGCTCGTCTGTCTAACAGTAACAATAAAGAGTTAATGGCGATTTGTTTGGCACTGCAACTTTTTCTACAGCACGGATGTGCATGCCTGACAGGCTGGGCAGGAATTTAGTGCGCTACTCACGTTCAAAGTTACGCTGCAAGACTGCAGCGGCATCTTTTGCCGTGCAGTCGGTGCTACAGCTCTCATGGAATTCTGGTGTCCTCGTCACTAGAGCATATGACTACTGAAGCCTTAGACTTCAGTAGTCAATTCCTCAGGGCCGTTCGTCATAGCTTATGACAATGTTTGTGTCCAGTATTTCAGTTCTCTCGCATGTGGCGAGGTCCACCTCACTAAAGCGAGTCAGCATCAGTAGTATCGCCTTCCTTGTCAGTGTCGTCTGTATTGATCCTGTGGTAAAGCTTCTGAGCTTGATGGTGAAAAAAAAAACTTCAATATAACGAATGTCTGCTGCGGGCCTGATTGCTACATTATACATCTGTAATGCGCCATTTGGGTATACATTGAGAGCATGCACGGGCCATACAGCAAATCTGCCCTCTGAGCTCTTGTTTTGTAAAGAATTGGACTCTTATCCGTTTAAATTTTTCTGTAGGACAGTTTACACGCTATATGCTAGCATAAAATGAAGGCTGCTTAGGCACTTCCTTGCCCTCCTGGCATAGGGTTGGTCCCTATACCAGGAAAGGTAATATTTCTGAGGTATGTACATGGTACATCCACAGGATCAGGCTGAACATCCTACAATGGTCCTGAATGTCCAGCTGCATCAACCAGATTGCGTTAGTGGTACGTTTTCTGGGGAACCATTTTGCACTGCACAGTAGATACTTTCAATGTTGGATGAATCGTAGCAGATATCCACTGGATATGTTAAATGTCCGAACACATCTCTCGGACGTTTAATAGACGGTTGCTGGTTGACTGGGTACCATCAAACCAATGTGCACCGGGGCACCTGTTGTCAATTACCGCTCATTGGTTTTCGCCCCCTAAACGCCATCAACCCAATGTGCACAGGGGTGCCTGTCGTCAATTGCCGCTTATTGGTTTTCGCCCCATAAATACCATCAATCCAATGTGCACAGGGGGGCTTGTTGCCAATAGCCGCTCATTAGTTTTTGCCCCATAAATACCATCAACCCAATGTGCACAGGAGCACCTGTTGCCAATTGCTGCTCATTGGTTTTTGCCCCATAAATACCCTCAATGCAATGTGCACTGGGGTACCTGTTGCCAATTGCTGCTCATTGGTTTTTGTTTCATAAATGCAATCAGCCCAATGTGAATTCCCTAAAGGATTACCAATTCAGCCCAATGTGAATTCCCTAAAGGATTACCAATTGGTGCACATAGGTTTTTGTTTCATAAATGCATATTGCTCAATGTGTCTGGACCTACAATTGCACATTGGTTCAATGTGAATTTTGGCCTCATTTCACATCGCCCATTTCCAGCAGGGTTGCCAGGTCGCTTCAAGGTTCTTCCGAGCCTCAACCTCCTGCTCGCCCCTGGCCGTTTCGAACTGGATGAGTCTCGTAAAACAGTGTGTTCGTGTAATCACTACTGCGTGATGCAAGTTAAAGACCCCCCCCCCCCCCCCGGGGCTGGCGGTTACAATTCTGCACTGGCAAATATTCTAACACGCCTGGGGCACTCGTCGTCTCATTTAATTGCCTGACCAACTTCGCAGAATCTAGATATCACACCCTAACTTTTCTAAACTTGATTTTGTGAAAAATCAAGCACTCGTCGTCTCATTTAATTGCCTGACCAACTTCGCAGAATCTAGATATAACACCCTAACTTTTCTAAACTTGATTTTGTGAAAACCAGTGAGTCGTGAAAACGTTATTGGAAACTGAAACTGTGGAAAAACTTGAGAATCGGACTTCGAACTTTGAAAACTTGGATTAAAAAGAAAATCAAAATCTTCAAAGTTTTTTTTTTTTTTTAATTTAGCGTTAAAAGAAAATCGAAACCTTCGAACTTTTCGACCTTTATGCAGAAAGAAATTCGAAATCTTCGATTTGTTCGAACTTCATGTCTGTAAAAATTCGAAGCGTTCGAAGTTTTCGAATTTTTTTTCCAAAGAATTTCGAAATCTTCGAATTTATCGAACCTGAAGTAAAAAAATATTCGAAATATTCGAATTCGAAATTTTAGAAACCGTGAAAGCTTCGAAATTTTCGACCTCGAAACTCCGCTGTGGTCAAAAGTTGCGAATTTTTCGAATTCGAACCTCGGTCGGTACGAAAATATCGAAATTTTTCGAAATCGAACCTCAGTTCGCTTTGCAAATATCGAAACCTTTCGAAATCGAACCTAGGGTGGTTCGCGACATCCCTAGTTGTAAGCGACTTTCATTTTTTCCTAGTGTCTTTATTAGGGATGCCGCGAACTTTTTTCGAATCGAAGTTTCGATGATCGAATCAAGCGGTTCGAAAGGTTCGAAAGATTTCGATTTTTCGAATTGTCTATATCGTAAAATTCGACGGAGGTCGAATTTTCGAACTTGTTAAGCTAAGAAGTTCGACGCTTTTCGAACCGTCGAACTTATTACGCTAAAAAATTCGATCTTTTTCGAACTTTCGAACTTATTGCGCTGCAAGGTTCGATGCTTGTCGAACTTTCGAACTTGACTGACCAAAAAATTTGATAAATTTCGAACTTTCGAACTTATTTATCAAGAAAATTCGAAAAGTTTCGAACTTTCGAATTCTGAAAAGTCAGAAGTTCGACGAACTTCGAACTTATAGGGTAAAAGTTCGACGTTCGTCGAACTTCGAAGGACCGGCGGACGGTTTCATTTGATTTCAAGTCGTGGGGTACATTCGTAATTTTTTTTCTCGAACTTTTACACGCGGTGCTGCGTTCCTTACGAAAGACAATGTCATTTATTTCAATGTTCTGGCATGCTTAGGTTTAAAGAAATAAATGCCCGAAGGGGCGAGGACGGACGACGGGTTTTTGACGATTATCGTTTGTGCCAGATTTGAAGCACGCTGCAGCCGGAGCTATTTATGGTAGATATGTTATACTTTTTTTTTAAGAATGATCTATGTATAGCGTAGGTAAGTGCCGTCTTAAGATGTGATTATTGTTATTCAACGTGAGTTTCGAAGAAATGTCCAAACATGTATCTGCATGCAATTATGACCTAAACTTGATATTTATTTTCGTCTAAGTTGTTTGAGGTATCGCATTTAAATTAACACCACAGACAGTACATATCATTGCCATCTGCAGAATACAAAATAATATATTTATTGTTTTTTCACGTTAAGGAATAAATTAACTCATGGCAGAAGATTTCTAGTAGTGTTCAAGTTCAGCACGTCATTAAAAGAAAACTTTTTTTTTTTCGCTTCACGTTCCTGGGACGTGTTTCTTTTAGCCTGTACACATTTTGGTAAAAGAAACTTGTTTCGAAGTTCTGAACCTCTGAATATGCAAGAATAGAACACTTCCGACGAATTCTTGATAGTTTTTTTTTTCTCCTGCTTTTTATTCCCCCATTTATTCTTTTTTTTTTTTCTTTTGTTACTATCGGCACAGGTGTTTAGGTCGAAAAGACAGCTTTGAACTTCCGAACCACTAAGCATGTGACGAGCAGTGCCTTCTGACAACGAGTTTCTAACAATGACCATCTACGCAACCTTTTATGAAGTGAAGAGCGACAGTAGCTATACATATGCATAAATAATTTCAGATTAAAATAAGCTCGACCACGCCCTCTTTCCCCGTATTGTTTTCTTTAACAGTCCGAAATACCTGCAAGGGGGAGAAGGAGGCTGAAGCCACCCCCCCCCCCCCCCCCCGCTACCCTCTTTCCCCCCGTTTTTCCTCTTCCGACACCACTTGTATGGTAGAACGCTCCTCGACCTCGAGTTGTGTCGGCTTTTGTGCTTTTTGCGAAACGATTCCTCCGTCCCAGAAAATAAACCTCCAGTACAATTATAAACTTCACTGGATCGGATTACTACCAGCGTGCAAGGGGTGGCGAGCTAGTTTGCCAGGTCGCTTCAAGGTTTCTCTGAGCCTCAACCTCCTGCTCGCCCCTGGCCGTTTCGAACTGGATGAGTCTCGTAAAACAGTGTGTTCGTGCAATCACTACTGCGTGATAAAGACCCCCTCCCCCCCCCCCCCCCCCCCCCCTCCCCGGGGGCTGGCGGTCACAATTCTGCACTGGCAAATATTCTAGCACGTCCGGGACACTCGTCGTCTCATTTAATTGCCTTACCAACTTCGCAG